ATCCAAAAAAATTATCTAGTAACGCAGTTTATTTGAATATATGATTAATGGATCATGTATACTGCATAAGATATATGCATTGTACATGTTCAGATTTACACCTTAAGTAAATGTACCTCTAAGTGTAAAAAACCATCAATAATGATCTGTAAATACTCGTGTGTTATAATGCGTTATTTTTTCATACGTTAGTGACATTATATTCACCTAACACACTTTATAATAAAATAAACCTATACAATTTTTATTTTTTTTAACTATTCTATTATTTCTGAAAACATTTTTTTAAGATAAATCCAATCAATACATTCTTCCTATAAATATTGTTTAAATTCTCAATCAAAAATTAAATAACTTTTTGCGTTTCCTTTTTAGTTACATTAATTGTTTTTAAATATTATTTAATTTTGACAATTACTTTAACTGAATAACTGTCCATTTTAATTATAAATATTGTTTTCATTAATAAGTTTGTAATATTTAGGATAAGTCTAAGCTCTTTCTAGAAAGTTTTCCAAGTTTTCCAAGTTTTTTTTATTTTTTAGTTAGAAGTAAAATGTATTTTTTAAGTAAACTTAAATGTTTTCTATTATTGTCATTTTATGGATAAAATTTTAAATTTTTTGAAAAGTTTAATGTTATAATGTAATGATATAATATTTTTTTGTAATATGATCAAATAAAAGTAGTCTATGCTATTTAATCAAATATGATGACTAGGAATTTAATTACTTTTAAATTAAAGAAATTCCCTACGTGGCAGATGTTGTAACGCTCAGTGATAAGTAAAAATATTATTTTCTTTTTACGTGTTGGTTTAAAACGCAAAATTATTTTATTAATCGTTTAAGACCCAGTTTTTGTATTGTTTTCCTTTATACTAGTTTAACGAGTAATATTGAACGAAAAAGTACCATAAAAGTTCTTTTATGACTTTAAAACATTTTTAAGTACCCTTCTTCGTTTATTCGCTTAAATATTTATTGTTATTAATATAACAACCATACTTTAGAAAAAATTTCTGAAACTANTAAATATTTATTGTTATTAATATAACAACCATACTTTAGAAAAAAATTTTTTTCTAAAACTACATTTACGATATTTCTATGTACAATGGCTAGTAAATATGTAATTTACAAAAATATTATTAATATTTTATTTATTATTATATTGAGTCAAAAAAATATCATTAGTTCAATTTCTTATAATGGCAAACATGACATTTAGTACAAATCAANTGATATTTCTATGCTGTGTACAATGGCTAGTAAATGTGTAATTTGCAAAAAAATTATTAATATTTTATTTATTATTATATTGAGTCAAAAAAATATCATTAGTTCAATTTCTTATAATAGTAAACGTGACATTTTGTACAAATAAAATTTCAAATAATTAAATTTCTTAAACTTCTATTTATTGATCGTTTAATATTTTAATATATATTTATTTACTTAAGTTTAGTAGAAAATTAGATGGAATAACAACAAGTATAAAGTAATAAAAAACTATTTCAATTAGTGAAAATGATATGTTTATTTAAAAGAGATGATGTTTTTAAAAATTTTATCAAAATACACTTCATTGTAACATATGTACAGTTTTATTATTTCCGCGTGAATAAATTATTTAAAACTCAAATGTTATATAAATCTAATGAAGAATGTTAATTATTTAAATAAATCAAATGAATTTTTCAATAAAAATAGTAAACATTTGTGTCTATAATGTCTATGATAATTATTTGTATATCCGTGCCTTGTTAATACTATAAAATTTTAACTCGGGGCATTAAATTATTTAATTTTACAAAATTTTCCTTATAAGTAATTAGTTTTAATTATATAACTAATTGTAATTTTTTTAGCAATAAACACGATTTATAAAAACAATTTTTCGAACAATATATAAAAATAATGTACATTACGTATAAAGTATTAAATTAAACCTTTTAGGTGAAAATAATTTAAGATATAGACGTGTAAAATTCTCCACGTGTTAATATTTTTCTCGTGAGTTTTGATAAATATAAAACGTGACCGAATACAAAATTGTTTAGTTGAAATCATTTAACTTTAATAACTCAAAAGTTAATACCAGAAAACTTTTTGAAAACCGTTAAAATTATTCTTGCGGTCGATTTCATTGTTAAAAATGAATCATTACAGTAAACATTCATTTTACCATAAAATTTTAGCTATGTTACGGGACACTTTTTTTTATTATGAATTGGATGTTCTAATTATTTTTCAAACATAATTACAATTTTCATGTGGTATTATTTGTAAGTATTTCTAATAAAATTGTTTTTTAATAACCATATTAAATAAATTTTGAATAATCGATCAATGTATAGAAAATGTTTAATGACAAAAGGTAACTCAAGTATAATACTACAAAAATGGTGGAGATTACATGCATTTTTCGTGAAATCCTATTTTTGTAATATTAAATTTGAATCACACCGTTTATCCATAAAATAGTACAAACATTATTTTATCTATGTAGTGTTATAATGAATTTATATGTAGTAACGTTAAATGTCAATTAATAGCTGCCGATTATCAAAGCATCAAATGAATTATGATTTTGATACCGATTATAATTATATGATCTTGTTTTAAATTGATATTTGTTTTTATAAGTTCTAATTAATTAGAATAGCAAATTAATTATAAATATTATATATATATAAAAATATATAATATGAGAATTGATCACTTGTGGCTAATATTTAAAATTAAAAAATATGTAATATTAATGTAAATGAACTGAAATTCGCGTGGAAGCTGTTTTTAAAAACCAAAATAATGTAATAAGACTTTTTATAATTTCAGAAAGTTTTGTAAATACTAATAGTTAAGAGCATTCGTAAAAATGTACAAAAAAGGAATACAAAATTTTATTTTATAACATTTAGTTTTTAATTCAGTGAATTCAGAAAGTCAAAATCTGATTTAGAGTTGACTCCTCTCCAAACCCCACCAAGTCCTTCTCTAAAAATAAAGGAAAATTATAAAACATTTTCTTGATATAAGTATAGGTAGATTACAGATTTTTATTTGTAAAATTAGACAAAAATAATTTAAAGATTTTATTTTCATTAACTGAGATGTAATTTTAAGTTATNCGTAGTAAATAAATGTAATAGAATTTGAATATATATATATATATATATTAGGGTGTCCCTTATTTTGAAAATTTTGGAAATTCTTCGGGCTCACCCCCCAAATTTATGTGTATACATATAAAAAGTGGCTACAAAAAATTCCAGGCCGATCAGATAAGTTTAACCCGTGCCGACTTGGGGTTGAAAATCGGCCAAAAGGGGTACTTTTTTAGTTTTTAGCAATTAACTCGTAAATTAGCGATCTCACAAAAAAAAATATTTAAACTAAATTGTAGATCTAATTGTTTTGTATAAATTAAGTTCTTACAGTTTTTTTTTTAAATCCATTAATTTTCTAGAAAAATGTCAAAATACATAATATTTTGTAAAATTGCCGAAATTAGCATATTTACGAATATTTCATCATATATGACGAACCATATGTGATACGACCTAATATTTCATAAAAAAATTGTTTAAAATTAAATTTTACGAAATAAAAGTAATAAGTACAAATTTCATTGAATCGATCGTTTTATTGCTATAGCTGAAATAACTCGATCATATTACGATTTTTACTAAATATATGAATTTTAATGCTTAATTTAAATATATTTCATTTATATTGTAAATTGATGTAGTTGTTTGACTTAAACGCATAATTATACTTACTTCTCAATATTCATGTATAAATAAAAAACAAATTATTACATAAAATACAAAATGTTAAATTCAAAATAATTCACAAATTATAACAAGAATATACATTAAAAACTATGTTTTAATGTTTCTTTGTTGCAATTAGGATATAATATGCTATGCTCTTGGACATAGTGTAAAAGTAACTCAGCTTTTTCATCGTTTACAGTTAAACTTTCATGAAAATCTTCTATTAGCTTAACCGCTTTCTCTGCAGAGTCATTTACTACTTTAAGTGAACATACAATTTCTTTTTCGTGTAAATAAAAATTATCAGTATTCCAATTACTTGGATCCAAATTTAAAAAATTAGTATTGATATCGAATCGTTTAAAAAA